AGTTTGTGCGTGTGTGTCTGTATATATATATATATGTGTGTGTGTGTGTGTGTGTGTGTGAATGTGTGTGTGCGTCTGCGCGTGTTTGTGTGCGCGTGTGTAAGTGTATGTGTGTGTACGTGTGTGTGTGTGTGTGTGTATGTATAGACATAGCTATTCGCTGTATGCGGGACGTTAATGCGGGTGCCTTCTGTAAGGTGTGGGTGTAGTTGACGCAGCTAGCCCGTATATGGAAGGCAGTTTCATACGGGCACAGTACGATATCGAACTATGTAAGATCAATATCACCAAAATGCATAAAAAGATAAAAAATTGCGCAAAATGTTAAACAAAGGTTATTCGTGTAGATATGCAGCCATGACGCAAGACCCGTGTATTGTATACGCCCGTGACTTTCGTGCACTAAAGTCGTGCATCGACTACGGGTAACACAATGTGGTTAAATGTGGTGGATGCATCCTTCTAGTACATCTGCTAGTTGACATAGCACATATAGGCGTCTTCAAACAAACAGATGTAAACACATTCACAGTTTGCGCATATACTTACGCGTATCGCTGCGTCGTGTAGTGACTTGTTGCGCAGCCTCAGCAGACGACTTCAGCACTTCGTCTGTGAATGACCAGTCGTTATTCTGTACGAAAAGGTGTACAAATTATAGATGAGACTATAAATATACATATATATATATGCATTAGCCGCAAGATAAGGTTACTAAGACCTCAATATGTGTCCCGAATACAGCCAACAACTTTGCAACTGGGCCTCCACAAATGAGTCATCGTTTCGAATACTTTCAATTGCTTTTCCAGTTTGTGTATACAAACTGAAATGAGCGAAATAACACCAACACACGGTGTAGGTCATTGCAACGTGCGCCTGTACTGTGTTGTGTGTAAGTGTGCGTATTCGAGCGTGTCTGTGTGTCAAACGAAATCAAGCACCTGTTACACACCTAACAAATGCACTACAGCTAACAAATCAAAAGGTATCATTGCATAGTTGACGTTACCCGCGACATTCAAAGCACACAAACCTCGTAGGTCAACATATCGACATACATAAAAACATATTCATCTACCTACCTACATGTACATATATTATTGTTTTCAGCATAAACAAAGCCAGGAAGCCTGTTTGAATACCAGACCGTTGTTTGTCGTGATAGTCAGTCAGCGTTTGTACACACCTGCTGCTTGCTTATCACTATCGGAGATGGCTGCCACGACGGTTCAAGAGAAGACTCATCCACCATCTTGAATGATGATTCGTCGCTCCGCTCCAGTAATCCCGAAATCTGATTGGCTCTCGCGTCCATAAATGACGAGATTTCATTGGCTGAAGTCAGTGACAGCCGCCACGAAGGATCCAATGATGACTCATCGTTCATCACAACCGATGGCTCATCATCCATCTCTGACGATGACTGATCTTCCCGCTCAGCAGATTGTGAGATCTGATTGGCACTTTCAGAGTCCAACGCTGCGTTCTCATTGGTTGAAACCGTTGAAATTGCTCTTCTGTTCGATTTTGATTGGACATTGACCGCGGGAGACTTGCGCGAACGATTCAGCCGATTGGCATTCACATCTCTGACGCCAAAGACTGATGATTTCTATGAATTGAATTAAGTGAATAATTTTCTTCACCTCGTTTCGGATGCATAGCTGAACTACGTACAAAAAACTAATACCATTGCAAGGCCTTCACGGATGAGACTTATCAATGGATCCCTCTGTGTGTTTTGTGACAATCGAATTTATA